ATTTCAGTTTTCAGCTCTGTGTACACAAACAGCTGAATAATAAAAGCTGATGGGGCTAGCAATCTGCCCGGCATTAACACCCACTTGCTCTTTTCTTGTTCAATCAAAGATTAAACAGTTGAGACCAAGAAAAAAAAAAAAAAGAAACGGGTAACAGAAAAATAGAACAATGAAGCATCGTTTGCGGAGACCACAGAGGCCCATTAGTAAGTCTGAACAGTGGGACGTAATCATTTCGTGGCCGCAATGGCAATAGATGAAATCCATTAATGCCAAGTCAAAGTTTCGTGGCTGAAAATCGATTTGCATGCGCTCTTTGCATTTCCGGTTTCCCACACACACACACACACAGTCACAGGCAGGCGTGCACACACATGCGACGACTTAATTACAGTTTTAAATAACCCATCTAACTGGAATTTGCGCAAAGTGCGGCACAGTTGCAATTGCCGCTGGCTAGCCATTGTTGTTGCCGCTCGTAAAGCCCCCGAAAATGCACTCGAGTTAATTGCCATTGGCTCGACTTTTGGCCAACTTGGCCGGAGTCCTGCGGGCTGCTGCCGGTGGATTTTATTGCCAGCCATTTTGAATACCATTTCGTGGTTTATTACTTTTGTGGCCAGGCAGATTCTCAAGTAGAGCGCCAAGTGCATGGCATACGCACACACACACACACACACTCGCGGCAGAGACTGGTGTGAATGCACTTTCGATAGCCGTCGCGCACACCTCGAGAGTTGAAAGTTGAAATACATACAGTGAACGCTTTTATAAACGGACATCCAAAGTCAAAGCCAAATTATGGAAGATGGAAGAGTTGCATACTGTTTCAATTTTAAAGTCTAAAACAAGTTAAGTTAAACAGAGTTAAGCAAATAGAAAAAAAATTAAAAATTGTAGTTAAGCTTTAAACATAAAATATATATATAATATATATCAAATATCACAGCCCTTTAAATTCCGCCTTTTTTTTCTTTTCAAACGCAATATTACATTTTTTTTTTTATAGTTTCAATAATTTTTTTGGTGCCATATTATTGCTTTGAGAATTTTTTGATTAATTTTTAATTAATTTTTGAAAAATGAAAGGCGATTGCATTTTTAAGCTAACACAAAACTAAAAATTTGCAATTAAAGAAACAATTTTTAATTATAATTATTTTTTTGAACGCCTTCAAATAGAACCAAATAATTTTTCTTGCTGCCATTTTTTGCTCTAATGAAAATTAGCGACTTACATAATCGCCAATCAATTAATTAATTTTTAATAAAACAATAAAAGCAATTGCATAAACTTGAATTTTGTTTTAAGCACATTTCGACACATCTTTGTTTTGAGTAGGATTTCCGATTTAACATTTTGTTTATAAAAATTATTATTTTATAAAAATAAATAGTTTCTTGAAAGCATAATTGACAAGTGCTAAGCGTAACTAACAATTTAAGGTAAATATTAAAGCGACCAAGAGACTCGAATTTTACTTAATTTTTCGCTTTAAAAAATACAACAAATTTTTGATAAAAATTTGTTTAAGCGCCTGACCTAAGACAATTCTTGCCTGTAAGTTTTACTGCTTTTATGGCAATGAAAAATGTTATTTTTATTTAAATGCAGGTTTATGTGCATTCTGTGTGAAACAAATTATGAAGAGCTTGTGGCGACGAAATTTGTTCGTTTATGTGAGCCGTGTCCGTGTTGGGAGCTTTCACTGTAAAGAGTGTTCCCTATGTATATCATGCCCTCTGTGGATACTGGCCTGGAGCAGACCCAACGCACGACCGAGTTTTCACTGTATACATATATACATATGTATGTATGTGTGTGTATGTATATGTATATATAGTTGTGTGTTTGTATTTATGGTGCAGCCCAGTGGCCAACGCTGACGATTATGGCAGTTAGCGTGGGCCGTAACATGGATTATGGCTGCTTTTTGACAGCGCCAACAGCCGTTTGGGCCAACACGCAGAGCTGCCGTTTTGCAGTGCAGCAAATTTTATTATTTAAGAGCCCAGCAAGCGCCCTCCACCCTGCCCTTCGGCACACGGCCGCCTGGCAACCGAGCTGGCTTTAAAAATCAATTAACCTTGATTGCGGCCGTACTCAATAAGTTTTCTCTTTTTGTTTTTATGGTTGCCAACGAGCAGACCAGGTCAACCAGGCCGACGTTGTCTTTGTCCTTTGTGCTTGTTTATTATTCCGGCTATGTTTTGTTGCCTTTTTCCAAAACCCCCGCCCCACCTTTCTCACTCTCGGCATTGATGACTTGCAATATGGAGCATGACATGCGGCAACTAAATGCCTGTTACAGCCTGCCCAGTCACGCCCACTAAAATGCCAAATGTTAATTTTAATAATGCTCGGCTTGACCTCTTATCGAATGCCGAAACTCAAAAGCACAAACCAAATCCATAACAGTTAAATTTATATATATATATATGTCTGTGAATATGAAAAACAATCTGATGGAAATCGCATTTCAAGGGTCAAAACAAATCCCAGCAAAGGTGCGGACCATAAAAAAAAGGCAAAATAAAAGCAGAAGCGAATCATAAAACGTAGCTAACCCTAAAAATCCTCAGCTCAGCCTGGTCCAGACAACAAAGCAAATTTTAACATTATAATTTTTAATATTTTTGCCTTTCGGCCTTGTCGCTGTCGTTGTTGTTGTTGTTGTCGTTGTTGTTGTTGCCTTTGGTGTGAAGCTGTCAAATGCAGAGCACCCTAGACAGGGCTCTAGGTAAGGCTCTGGCTTGGTTCCGGACTGCAAGCTGTGACATCCTTACAAAATGTGGCAAACGGAAAGCACACACACGTGCACACACACACACGGGACACACACACAGAGGACACTCACATATACAGGCCCGCTTGCTGCCTTTCAATTTTGGCATCTTCTTGCTCTCAGCTCTTGGCTTTCGTTTCTTTTTAACTTGAGTTGCCTTCGATTTCACGCAGCGCTGGCAATTTTATGCCAAAAAAAAAAGAAACCCAACTTGTAGCCCTGCCACGCCCCCTCTCTCTGGCCCACGCCGTGGCTTAGCCTTGTTGTCGCTGCTGTTGCTGTTGCTTGTTTACTGTCTTTTATTTATTTGCCCGTATTTGGCTGTTGTTGTTGTCCCTTCCCAAGCATGGGAAATCGAATTCGAATCACTTTCGGATATTTTGGTTATAAAGTCGGAAATTTTTGGCGACTATATTGTTTTCGACATTTTCCTAGTTTTTGGCAAACATTTTTCTCCCACTTCAAGACTCCTCTCTCTCTCTCTCTCTCTCTCTCTCTCTCTCTCTCTCTGGGGCTGTGACATTGTTTGGCTCTTTTGCGCATTGTCTGTGCCCCGCATTGAAAATTTATTGCTTCCAATTGAGTGCACGAAGCGGCAACAACAACATGGAGCAGCAGCTGGAGGAGCAGCAGGCAGCAACAGCTCGCGCGCTTGTCCTTGATATACACGTGCGTTCATGGTCCCTGTCCCTTGTTATGGCGCCCTCGCCCCGCCCCTGTTCCGCCTGACGACTGCCCACGCTGTGCGCTGTGGCAACATATTGGAGAAGGAAGCACACATGTAAGCAAAATTGACAAGGCTAAAGGATATCGATGTCTGCTTATAATGTGCAACATATTAAACCTAAGCACACGCTCCCAGCGCTCGCCCGCTCTATAAATAACAGCAGCAGCAGCACACCTCAGCTCAGCTCGTCTCGCCCCCGGCATATTCCTCTTTGCAATAATCAAAGTTGCCGCCAAAACAGTTTTCACTTTGGCTGCTATTATTTTGCTGGCCTGGGCTGCCATTGATGTCCTTTTGGCCCTGCGGCTAATATATGAGTCCATGTCGCAGCGTTTTGGCCTCGTCTCGCCTCGCCTTCGCCTTCGCTTTTGTTTTTTTTTTGTGACCCACTAGGCACATCAGTTTCCTCCCCGGTAGAATCGACTCCAGTTGAGTTGATATTGATGATGTTATTAAAATAATAAATTATTTGAAAATTATGAACTGGCGCCATTTCTCATCACGTGCAGAACATTTGCCCAGTTCCTAAACATAAATCAAATGCTAGCCCTTACTTTAAGTGACTGCCACTCAAAGGCGCAACTTGTTAAAGGTTTAACTCACACAACAACAACCACACACACACACACTCGCACACGCACACACCTGACATGCATATACAGACTTTAAAATTGGCAGCCAACTGTGGGTGTGGGACGATTTTGTCCAGCTTAAAATTAAATTAACAATGTGTGCCCTATGCTAACTCAAAATGGGTATAATTAATGATAACATATGTATATATATATATATATGTATGCATGAGGAGCACATCTCCGACCCTTGATCAGCACTTCCAGCTGAGCACTATCAATATGTTGATATTATTTCTTATTTTAATTGGCGCACTGAATCCTGAATATGTGCCCACAAAATGTTTTCATATCGTCGATAATAGTCTATACAATCGGTTCCTCTCTTCCTCTCTAACTCAGTCGCTTACTGAAAAGCATTGAAATGTGCAAGCATTACTTGAATTTATGAGAATCGCAAAGAAAGGTGTTTGCAGATAATAAGAAAAACATAAAGCGAGCTACTGAGGGAGCATGGTAGTAGGTAGAAGTAATGAAGAAGAAGAACAGAAGAATTGAGTGAAAAATAGTGAAGAAGAGATGAAATGAACACTTGTCTTGTTTTGATCCTCTTATTCTGCCTCTTTTTAATCTAAATATAGAGGGATAGAGTGCAAAATAGAGTGAAGAAGAGATTCAATACACACTTGCTTTGCTTCTGAATCTCCTATAATTTTTCTCATTTAAATTCTTACTACTTACTACTTATGAGAATCGCATAGAAGGGTGAACATGAAATACTAGATTATTATAAGTCATATTTTTTATATAATGTACAGGGTATTGTCTGCTTACACCTTCTTCAACAGCAAGCTCCCCCCTTATAGTTCTTGCAGTTAAAAGCCTGACTAAAATGTCATTTGTGTCTGCACTTACCTGTAAAGTGGTTTGCCAGCGGTCTCACGGAACCAGAGCACCATATAGACACGATCGTCCTTTGCCTCCGGCTCAATGTCACACGGCAAGGATGCGGTGCGTCCCAGCACGGCCTCCACAGCCACAGTGCTAACTGCAAGGAGAAAGAAGGAGTACGATTAGACGAAAGTCAATTATAAGCGAAGTGCGTGCAAATGCAAGCAGCAATCCAAGTTTAGTTTTAAATGCTACAACACGATGACTATTGACAAAGTCATTAACACAATATTAAATTGTCTGTTATTGTTTTTGTTGTTGTTGCTGTATCTGCAATTACCTGACTCCTTCGTCGATGCCTTAAACATCAACAAATGTCAACAAAACGCTGCCTTTTAACTGTCACGCCAATGGCACGCAAAGCAAGCCAAAAAACGAAACCCAGCCGCACGACATGTCCAACCCCGCCAGCTCCTCACCAGCCCGTCTCCAACTTCAATTCGAAAAGCCCGCCACACCCTGACCCTAACCGCAATCGTAGCCATCGTCGTAGTCGCATAATCACAACCAAGTACGTGAGTGGGAATATTAATGCTAAATTGACGACAACGACAACTACGATGGAATCGCCAACAACAACAACAACTGGATGAGAATGCACGACCATGAGATACCCTGGATAAATCTGCTGCAATTGCGCCTCTTCTTCCTGCTTTGGACCCACTCTATGAGAAAAGCCTAACTATGGTATCCAAAAATATGTAAATATCAAAGCTGAAGACCTTACCTCAAAAAATGAGTTTTGCATAAAGATGTAATATTCTGGATCTGTGTATACTATACAAGACACACATTTTGGGAAAGCTTCGAGATATGCTTAAAATAAGAGAGTTTATATATCTAATTTGATCGAGAGATCAGAGACAGAAGATCGGGCTCGAAGAACCCGGCTTCGGCTTGTTTCTTTTTACCCTATTGTTCCATTTTCAACTTACAGGATATTACAACGACGACAACTACAATGAAATGATGACGATGGCAACGGCATTGCCGTCAATGAGCTCTGCTCCCGGTTTTATATCTAGTCCTAGCTGTCGTCCATCCGCCTGTCTAGCTGCGATTTCATGGCGGCCTCATCTTTTGCATTTAAACTGCCAATTGATGTCAGTGCAAAGAGATATACGCCTAGGGCACAGCCGGGAATTGGTGGGGTTGGCAAACTCTAAAGCCAATCCCAGCAAATGACAGTGGTTAAGGCGCTGGATTTCAACTGCCTGAGGTGATTGCATGATGGCCCAATGAGCTTTGTCTGACCGCAGACATTGCAGACAGCGCCTGCAATTGCCTATTCGATATATGAATATATTTATATAATTGCAGCGCGATAGCTGCAGGAAGTGGAATTTGTTATCTAAAGCTTAATTGGAAGATAACAAAAAAGGAATTGGGAAACTATCTCAAAATATTGCTTGAATTACAGCTAAAATATCAAAATCTATTTTAACGTTCTCTGAACTATTCTAACTTTCTCAGAATTCAAATGGTTGCTAAAAAATATGGCTTTCAAGATTTTAGATCTTAAAGGTAAGTCCAAAGGTGTGTGCTGGATCTTAAGGTCTTTTTAAAAAGAGTGCAGAAATTTTGGCATAGAAAAAGTTACGAAAGTTCTTGATTCCTCTTCGAATATCTGCTTATATCTAATACTAAGTATTTAAGTTTATTGAGATCTTAACTATCTTCAAAAGTGATCTTTAAAATTTTGCAAATGCTAAGCAAAATTTTGCATAAAAGTATTATTTAAATAAAAAACTTTAGTTTTTAGTTTCCTCAAATACTTCTTTTCAGACATATCTTTCCTTTTAATCTGCGGATAAAAGTTAATTTCTGATAATGTGTTTTCCATATTCTCTGGATTTCGAGCCCTAATTTTCGTGCTCAGTGTGTCAAGGCTTAGGGAAAGGCAAATGCCGCACAAGACAATAAAGTCCCTCCAAGTCCTTAAATTTTTTATAGAATGAAATACTATCTATAATAATACTAGTCTATAATGAACTCTATTCGCTTTTACACACTATTTCCTTAATTCTTTTTTTTAGATAATATCTATGAAACTATTAAGCAATACTTAATCCTACTCACAAACTTGTTTAAAGAGTCAAACTGTGTAAATTTCTTTATATCCATTTATTTCCGTTTTTCTATTTGGCAGCCATATATCTTCAAAAAGGAGCTACGTATTAAGCGATATATTAATTTCAGATAAATTTTATTGATTTAATATATTGAATGTAGCCGTTTAAGCGTTTGTCAATTCCGAGCTGATTGATGATTGACAGCGATTTAAGGCACAGTTAACGCTAGACAGTACACCTGGCAGCTGTTGGAGCAAAGGCAACAGCCCACGCACACACACACACACACACGCAGACGCACACGCACACACTCACAAACTCAGAGATCCATCAAACGGCGCAAAGCTCATTAATACCCAAAAAGGGGATCCGCAATGATGTTACGCGTAATTTAATTTTTGGGACACCCGCCAGCAGCAAATTCCTCACGCATAATTTCAGTTTGCACTCGGTTTTGTGTCGCGTACGTGTGGGTGTGCGTGTGTGTGTGTGCCAGTGTGTGTGTGTGTGTGTTTTTGTGTGGGAGGCAATGGTAAAATTTTTGACATTTATTTAATATGCGCACGTTTTATAGAAAAGCAATTCCCCGTCGTATAATTTATGGCACACTACAAAAATTTGCAAATGACGACGACAGCGGAGGGCAGACATACATATATATATATATATATATATATATATATATATATATGTATGTATATATATATGCATATGTGGGACATTTATACAATGTGTAAGTGTATTGGTGTGTATTTGGAATGTCGCAAAACATTGTAGCAATTTTCGTTGCGTTTGTTATTCCCATGTAAGATGTCAAACTCCCAGCGAGCAGACCAACACACACACGCACACACATACCACACACACACACACACACACATAGACATAGACCCACCCACATTGTCGCACTGTCTAGGCAGCGCGCTGCGTCTCTTGACGGCAGCGGCATCAGCAAATTGACATAATTTGTGACGCTGCCGCCTCCACCACCCGCACCACCCGCAGCTCCTCCAGCCGCCAGCTCCCAGCCACAGGCTCAGACTCAGCCGTCGCGCTGTGCGCCCAGGCATGAGTGTGTAACGAGTGATTTGCCCGTGAGGCGCACATCGCAGATAGCGGGCGCCAATCGTTGCAAGCAGCCCCCCCCCTCCCTCCCTCCTTCCGGCTACCCCCTGCTGGCTGCTGGCAGACCACAAGCCAACCAACTAGCAGCGCTTGGATTTTGGCCAAGTGGAGCGTGCTGCGGCTTAGGTGCCCAGCTGCTTGTGGGGTCATTGGCATGGATTAGTCTCAGCGGCGGCAACAGTTGACAGACTTGACAAATGTGTCCTAGTTTACAGCTGTCTCTATGCGTGTGTGTGTGTGTGCGTCTGGTTAATAGTTATTTACACACGCACACAGGTTTAATTGGCCAAGCTTAATTGTTGCCTTGTTTATCTTAAATATTTATAATACATCAAAATATATTTTATTATACACTGAAATATGTGCAATTAAACGGACCTGGCTGACCTGCCACAATGTTTGCATTAAATATTTACGAGCATTATGCAGCAATTTGTTGCAATCATTACACCTGCGACATACTAATACCATTGAGTGTGGATATCTAGAGCTTTTGGAGTTTTAATATTGCTTGATTTTAATTGCTAGATCTTGGGATAGGAATTTATTGCTATGCTGTCTGTCATCTTTTTGTTTTATAATTTCTTTGTTTTGTATTTGAATAAATAACGTTCATTATCCAAGAAATCAAACTTTACTGAAACTGTAGCGAATTTTATGCCTGCGTCCATTTATTCTGAACATTTTGTACATCTCTCTATAAGCTGTAGCGCTAAGGACTTTAATTTAATTATGATTGAATTTAAAATGCATTTTTCGAACATTTTTAAGCTTTTTTTTTAACTAGTATCACGTACCTTGCCATTCAAATTTTAGAATTTCAAACATAATTAATTAACTTCAGTTTAGTATGGCAACCAAAATAGGCCAATACAAATCGGATGAGATTTGACCGAGATGTGGGGTTGGGAAATTTTGCCTTATGTCTATATAGGATATTTGAGAGTATAATTTTTGCATGTATTTTGACCAAAAATACGGTTGCCAGTTTTTGATGCCAAATTGATTTAGGTGTCAAACCATGAACAAAAAGCCAAACCTTATGAAAATCGTATGAGATTTGACCGAGTTATGGGTTTGGGAAATTTTGACTTATGTCTATATAGGATATTTGAGAGTATAATTTTTGCATGTATTTTGACCAAAAATACGGTTGCCAGTTTTTGATGCCAAATTGATTTAGGTGTCAAACCATGAACAAAAAGCCAAACCTTATGAAAATCGGATGAGATTTGACCGAGTTAGGGGGTTGGGAAATTTTGCCTTATGTCTATATAGGATATTTGAGGGTATAATTTTTGCATGTATTTTGACCAAAAATACGGTTGCCAGTTTTTGATGCCAAATTGATTAAGGTGTCAAACCATGAACAAAAAGCCAAACCTTATGAAAATCGGATGAGATTTGACCGAGTTATGGGGTTGGGAAATTTTGCCTTATGTCTATATAGGATATTTGAGGGTATAATGTTTACATGTATTTTGACCAAAAATACGGTTGCCAGTTTTTGATGGCAAATTGATTAAGGTGTCAAACCATGAACAAAAAGCCAAACCTTATGAAAATCGGATGAGATTTGACCGAGTTATGGGGTTGGGAAATTTTGCCTTATGTCTATATAGGATATTTGAGGGTATAATGTTTACATGTATTTTGACCAAAAATACGGTTGCCAGTTTTTGATGCCAAATTGATTTGGGTGTCAAACCATGAACAAAAAGCCAAACCTTATGAAAATCGGATGAGATTTGACCGAGTTATGGGGTTGGGAAATTTTGCCTTATGTCTATATAGGATATTTGAGAGTATAATTTTTACATGTATTTTGACCAAAAATACGGTTGCCAGTTTTTGATGGCAAATTGATTTAGGTGTCAAACCATTAACAAAAAGCCAAACC